AAAAAAAAAAAAAAAAAGAAAATACAAAAAAGGAGTCTAGTGCAAATGTCCTTATCATAAAAAGATTTTTTTTTTCTTCTGGGTATATGCCTAGTAATGGGATTGTAAAATAAAATAGGAGGTCTAATTTGAGTTGAAGATTCTTCATACTTCCTTCCAAAAACATTGCACTATTTTATAGTCTCACCAGCAGTGTAAAAGTGTTCTCTTCTCTCTACATCCCTGCCAGCATCTGCAGCTTTGAGATTTTGTGATATGAGCTACTCTCACTGGGTATAAGTGATATCTTAGGGTAATTTTGATTTGCATTTCTCTGATGATTAGGAAAGATGAGCATTTTTTCAAATATTTGTTAGCCATTTGTCTGTCTTCATCAGAGAAGGTTCTGTTCATATTTCTTGCCCTGTGGTAGATGAGATTATTTACTCTTTTTTTTGACTTATTTGAGTTCTCTATAGATTCTAGTTATCAATCCTTTGTTAGATTCAGACTATTTATTTTCGCTTAATTTACAATTGCCAAAATGTGGAAACAATCTAAATTCCCACCAATCAAGGAATGGGTCAACAAGCTGTGGTATATGTATACCATGGAACATTATGCAGTCATTAAAAGAGATCAGGACTTTACATCTTTTGTATTAACCTGGATGGAGGAGGAACACATTCTTCCTAGTAAAGCATCACAAAAATGGAGAAGCAAGAATCCAATGTACTCAATTCTAATATGAAGCCAGTAGATGATGCAAAACAAGGTGAGGATAGGGGAATGAGGGAATGGGTAGAGGGGAGGTCAGTGGGGGGTGGGGGTTCATGGTATATGGCACACCTCTTGGGGACAGGACACAATTACAAGAGGGGCTTTACCTAACAAAAGCAATCAGTGTAACCTAATTCTTTGTACTCTCAGTGAATCCCAAACAATAAAATATATATGAGTAAATGAGTGAGTAAATACCTTTCTTAACTCAACCCAAATACAGTAGACCATCTCAAGGATAAATAAAAGAGTCTAAAGTAAAGGGAGGCCACAAGGAAGAGATGATCTGAATGGTGCAGATGAGTGCAGATGCAGGAGATGAGCCTCAAAACAAGGGGTAGGTGAAGGAATGAGAAACTCAGGAGCTTGGTGGACACAGAGTCATGGGGATTGGGCAGTTCCAAGGATTGAAATATGGGTGAGCAGGCTGAGAAAAGCAACATTTAGAGAACCTGTAGATGAGTGACCCATGGTTCGTGATATTGAAAAATGAGACAACGCCTAACTCATAGTCTAGGAAAACCCCAATACGTTGGGGACATACGGACATGGAGAGAGTCAAGATCTCTGGTTCAGAGGAGAAAGAGTCCTCAAATGCACTATACTTAAATTTATTCTGTAGTCCTATAACCCAGTAGCCAAATAGAGGTCTGTATCTGGAGTATACATTTTTGTCATTTGCACCTCTTTTAATACCAAACTTTATACTGCGGGAACGTGTTCTACAGTATACCCCTAGGATCCAAGCAGTCTTCTTGGACACATCTACTTCCCAGTAATGTTTCCCTGAATAGAAATATTGAGATCCCAAGACACCATAGTTACAATACTTAACAGGCCAAATTGGCACAGATGTAACTTGTCTCTGATCTTCTGAAAGGACAAGATTCAAATTTAGGTTGACTGGATTCAGTGTGATGTCCACTGCAGAAAAAAAAATGTACATATATATATATATGTATACATATATATACACACACACACAGAGTATATACAAGATATCAGATGACAGACATAGAGTAGTTTTTTCTAGTGACATTGTGAGGAGGGAACTTGGAAAATGGGAAAAACTTGTATTGAATTGGGAGAAGGAGTAAAACATTGGAGAAATGTATTGTGCTTATGTGTTGAGAGGCACAGAGAAGATAGGAGGCTAAATCATAACATCTCATTGAAAACACAAACTTCTTAAAAGTCATAAGAACAAAGTGATTAAAAGACCTTGTAACCTCTTCTTACCCCAGTAGCATCGGACATCTCTTAGCTCTGAAATAATAAAAGATTTGATGATGTTGATTAGAAACAAAGGAGTAAGTACTGGTGACTATCTTTCCTCTAAAGCAGGGGCAGGGGAGAGCAGTCCTGCAAAGCTATGAGCTAATGAATGAGAGGATGAAACAGATACTCAGCTATTCTCCCTTAGATATAAGCGCATCCTCTTCAATGTAGAATATCACTTCTGCTCTAACTTCCTGCCTCCCTTCTATTCTCATGTGTAAGCTGTATCAGTTATGCAAATTACTCCCTGACACCAGAGGAATACCACATCCACACTCCTCCCCTGCCTCTCCTCACCTCTAAACACTTGCAGCATTCTACTCAGATCGGGAGCATGGAATACAGTCTTCAGTGTCTTGGAAACAGTTTTTGGTTTTTTCAGCACCCAGATCTCACTCCTAAGAATGACAAAATATTAGGACCTCCACATCTCCCATCTTGTGTCCATTCCTGCAACAACATTGGCTTTTTCTCCCTCCACATCACTGAGGTACTTGAACCCTATATTCCCTGAAGAGCCTGAGGAGGGGGGAAGGAAGACACCACTGACCCTGGATCTATAAATGTGTTTGTGTTTTCCTTCCCCTTTACTTTCTGTGTGACCTTGAGAATGTCTTTACCTCTGGAAAGCAGTTTTCTCTTATAAAAATGGAATAATTAAATACTCCTTTGATATCTCATGGAAATAATATAAAATTAGATGAAATAAGGCATAGGAAAAGCCTTTGTACTTCTAAAAATGGTATGTGATATGTGGTCAACTCTCCATCTCAGTGAGTCTTTCAGCGATGGGCCAGAGATATGGGTCTCTGGGCAAATGGAGAGTGAAGCTGCAGATCCTGGCTATCATCTGGGTCTCTGTATAAAAAGCTTATAAGCCTGTGCTCTGGTCTGAAGCTTGAAGTCCAGGGGGAGAAGCAAAAAAAAACTTATGACTACTAAACTAAAAAATATATTTTTGTTAGGAATTTAATGCTGCCGGATGGGTTGGAAACTTTAGATACATTTTTTCTGCATGAACTTTGAAATTTTAGTCTCTTCCTATTCCTGTGCATGAACAGGAAGAGACTAAATATCGGCAATAGAGTCAAAACCACTGTCCCTGAGGCTTGGAATGGCTTTTGGGAATCTAAAGAAAACCTTGTAGAATGACCTTGCTTATTTTATTCTAAACTAAAGTAAATATAAAGGAGCTGTCTCCATGTTAAATTTTGGAATTTGATAAGGCCTCCTCTATGTCATATGACAAGTAGCTATGAAATAAAGACACTGAGCTAGATTCAGAGAGATGAATTAAAGAAGTGAAGCCACAGGGGTCTGGGAATAAAACTTTTCACCCTTAATATCCTCTCTGGCCCTAACTCTGAAATTCAGCCACTATATTTACTAACATAGAAACTCATCCATTCCCAACAGATATGAAACACTCCAATCCTCTTCTGTGACCAACAATTTAAGACAATACTACACCCAAATGTCCTTACCTTGGGAGATTTTTTATTCTGACTGACCACCATAATTATAACAGCTACAAACTATTTTGTCATAACACAAAAGCATCACTGTTGGCTTCCCATACATACCATTTCATGATTCCACTCCTGTCCTAGGAAGAAAGAAAACATGAATCAAGGTATATAAAGATTAGAGAAAATTAATGAAAGACTAGAAAATTAATAAAGAAATTAGGCTTGGCGCCTGTGGCTCAAGCGGCTAAGGCGCCAGCCACATGCACCTAAAGTGGTGGGTTCGAATCCCCAGCCCGGGCCCGCCAAACAACAATGATGGCTGCAACCAAAAAATGGCCAGGCGTTGTGGCGGGCGCTTGTAGTCCCAGCTACTTGGGAGGCTGAGGCAGGAGACTCGCTTGAGCCCAGGAGTTGGAGGTTGCTGTGAGCTGTGATGCCATGGCACTCTACCCAGGGGGATAGCTTGAGGCTCCATCTCAAAAAAAAAAAAGGAAATTATAGAAATCAAAAGTGAGTTATATGAAAACACCAGCAAAATGGACAAACTTTTAATTAGACACACTAGGAAAATAGTCAAGAATGAAAGATGGGGATAGCACCTGTGGTGCAAAGGAGTAGGGCACTGCTGCATATGTCAGAGGTGGTGGGTTCAAACCCAGTCCTGGCCCCCTCCAAAAAAGAATGAAAGATGGGATGTTACCACAGATCTTACAGAAATTAGAAGAATTATAAACATTATGAACAATTGCTTACCACTCAGTTAGATAAGCTAAATGAAATAGACAAATACCTAAAAATACAGAAATTGTTTTTTTATACTGATTTAAAAACTTATAGAAAACATGAATAGACTAAAACATGTAAAGAGATTAAACTGGCTCTGCGCCTGTGGCTTAAGCGGCTAAGGCGCCAGCCACATACACCTAAGGTGGTGGGTTCGAATCTAGCCCAGGCCCACCAAACAACAATGATGGCTGCAACCAAAAAATATCCAGGCATTGTGGCGAGCGCCTGTGGTCCCAGCTACTTGGGAGTCTGAGGCAGCAGACTCACTTGAGCCCAGGAGTTGGAGGTTGCTGTGAGCTGTGATGGCACAGCACTCTACCCAGGGGGAAAGCTTGAGGCTCTGTCTCAAAAAAAAAAAAAAAAAAAAAGAGAGATTGAACTGAAAATTGAAGACATAATGTACGGAAAAAGCCAAACCCAAGAGGCCTCACTAGTGAATTCTGATAAATGTTTAAAAAGAAATAATATCAATACTTTACAGATTATTTCAAAAATAAATGAACAGGGGGGATATTTCTTAAATTATTACATCAGGTTCATCTGACTCTAACAATAAATCCAAAGTCATAGCAAGAAAATAAAGCTATGCTGATATCCCTCGTAACTACAAACACAAAATGCTTCAACAAAATATTAGGGGGTGGTGCCTGTGGCTCAATGAGTAGGGCACCTGCCCCATATACTGAGGGTGGTGGGTTCAAATCCGACCCTGGCCAAACTGCAACAAAAAAATAGCTGGGTGTTGTGGTGGGCACCTGTAGTCCCAGCTACTTGGGAGATTGAGGCAGGAGAACTGCCTAAGCCCAAGAGCTGGAGGCTGCTGTGAGCTATGATGCCACAGGACTCTACTGAAGGTGACAAAGTAAGGCTCTGTCTCTAAAAAAAAAAAAAAAAAATTAGGAAATCAAATCCAGCAAAATAAAAAAAGATTATACATAAATGCAAAGTACAATTTATCCCAGAAATGGAAGAAAATTAATGTAATATACAATTCAATAGAACAAAGAATAAAAACCACACAATAACAATAAACATGAAAAAAATTACTTGACAAGATTCAACACATTTTCATAATAAAAACAAAAGAGAAATAGTAACAGACTAAAAATAGAAGGAAGCTTCCCTAGTCTGCTAAAGGACATCTATTGAAAACCCATAACTAACATCACACTTCATGGTAAAAACTGAATGATTTTTCCCTTAAGATCAGGAAAAAGACAGGAGGTCTGCTCTCACTACTTCATTTAACAAGGTACTACAGCTTCTAGTCAGGGCAGTTACAAAAAACAAATTAAAAAAAGGCATCTATATTGGAAAGAAAGAAGTAAATGTGCCTATTACTCTTTTCTTTCTTGTATTTTTACTTTATTTTCAGCTTTTAATTGATAGCAACTTGAATCTATTAGGTTCAATTATCTTCAGTGATATTAATTCCTACTAGAAAGTTTTACTGTAATAACTTCTAATTTTACTGTAATAATACAATTTTGGCACATGCAAGCATCAAGATTAGGACAGATGCCCAATTTAAAATAACCACTGTGTGGTTAGCAGGAATGTAGGGGTTGGATAGGCTGATTTACATATGATTAACTCATTCATCCCTGAATATGCTGATTTGCTTTTTTTTTTCCTTCTTCTTCTTTTTTTTTGAGACAGAGTCTCACTATGTAGCCTGGGTAGAGTACCCTGATGTTGCAGCTCACAGCAACGTCAAACTCTTGGGCTTAAGCAATTCTCTTGCCTCAGCCTTCCAAGTAGCTGGGACTACAGGCACCTGCTACATCACCTGGCTTTTTTGTTGTTGTTGTAGTTGTCACTGTTGTTTAGTAAGCTCAGGCCGGGTTTGAACCTGCCAGCCTCAGTGTATGTGGCCTGTCCCCTAACCACTGAACTATGGGTGCCAAGCCAATATGCTGATTTTCTTCATATCAAATAAGCAGAAGGGTGGAAGTAGACATGCTAGTGTTTCCCCCCAAAAGTAATTCAAGGTATTGTTACGAGAAAAACAAGGAACGAATATTGAGCATGTTCAGTATATCATTTAGCTGCCTACCATCATCTGCCCTTCCACAAAATTTCAAAAATGAAAATGGCCAAATACATATATCATAAAAATATTACAAAAAATATTAAAAATAGAATTAACACCTTTGTAAGGTGGCCGCCTAAAATCTCAACTAATTTTTGAATCAATTTCAAGTTTAATGTTTCTTCCCAATGTTGAAGGTAGCCCTTACACAAGGAACAACAGCTCCTGAAGCAGACAAACAGTGGACAAATGATAACTAGATCCATCCCAATCACTGCATAAGGAATCCAGATAAAAGGAAAGCCATCATAGGAACCCTTAGGAGCTAAGACTGTAGAGAGGAAACAGCACCAATGCAACAAGTGTCGAAACATGTTGGGGAGGACCAATCAAACTTCCTATCAGGTAAAAGAATTAGTACCTTGGATATCGTTCATTTATCATTCTTTGGGGCTAACATGTAGATATGGGATGTTAACTTCATAAAATTTATTATTTTTGATCTACTAAAATTTTTTTGTTACTGAAAGTGACCAAATAGCAACTCAAACTGGCTTAAATAGAACAGACACCTGGGCAAGTGACATAAACACAATAGGTCTTTCATGAAGATGGTGGCTGAAAAAGCTGTGAAGAGGTTATGGAGGAGCTATACAAAGCGGGCCTAGCATCTTCTCAGTTTTATTTTTACTGAGATAAATTTCACCTTTCACAGTGGACAGTGTAGTAGGTTTTAGTGTATTTGCAACAATGTAAAACCATCAATATATTCATTTCCAGAGTATTTTTTCATCACTCCAAAAATAAACTGTGTACTCATTAGCAATCATTTCCTATTTACCCTTCTCCAGAGCACTGGCAACGACTAACCTAATTTCTATTTCTGTAGATTTCCTATTTAATAGTCATTTAAAAACTTTCATATAAATGGAATCATACCAAAAAATATATATAACTCTGTCTGCCTCTTTCAATTAACATAATATTTTCTTTTTTTTTTTTTTGAGACAGAGCCTCAAGCTGTCCCCCCCGGGGAGAGTGCCGTGGCATCACAGC